GATTATCTCGTCTCGATACTGACATGTGTAATGGCGTATATCTAATTCGTAGACGTTCGATCGCTGCGGTTCCTCTTCATTACTTTGCAAATGAAGCAACGTGGCCCACGCTCGTTTCAATGAAGGCACCATGATCTCGGGTAGCGTGTCACAGATTCGACAGTTTCGCATTTGCATATTTTGAGATTCTCCACTGCAGTTTCCGATTATCTTCCTCATTATTATCCATCTTATATCGATGTCCCCATATTGCGTGACGTGTCTGCGCGTATCGCAACAATGTCTAGTATCCAAAGATATCAAATTTGTTTTCACCTGCAATGTGCTGCCGATGAAATACGAGCGCATCAAAACAGATCATGCAACCTTACCGGCTGACAAGCTGTCACGTTGTCCCAACAATGTCTGCCGACAGGCTTCGAATAACATCCACTTACACGATCGATTTGTAACCACCCCGAAGAATGACGAATAATCACGTTGTAGCAGTTACAGCTACAAACTCAATTTTGCCAGTTGGCCGACAATCGATTCTTTTTGTCGTATGCCGTCAATCGTTACAGCAGCGCATCCATCAAACCGATGGAGGCGCTTCTGATCGCCTTTTGTTCCGCTATCGGATTCCCATTGGATGCCACCCCATGCGGGGACACCCTCTTCCAGCTCCGCCGGGCCAGTAACAACTTCTTGATGGAGCTATTGCTTGTCAGAGCTTCCTCTTTTTCTCTTTTTTTACGACGTTATTAGGACCAGCGCAGCCGACACGATCACCCAGCATTTAGTCCCCTTTCATGCTTTTTTCTCTCGAAATCCACTCATCTCGGCACGAATGATCGAAAGCTTGCCGCCGGAGTATCTTTCGCGAGGACTGGAAACCCATCTCGGGGGACACAGTTCGAAGCAGCTTTGTGAGCGATTGAAAACTCAATGTCTATGTAATGAGCTAATCACCGGGCTAATCAGCTTTCACATCTGACTTATAATCTGCTGGACAATTTTTTTTCCGATGTGAAACCCAATTAGTCATTCAGTGCGAATAATTGTGTAATTTGTTTACGACGATGAACATAAAAAGGTTTGTTGGACACGATTTATGTAGGTCTGGCTTTTCTATCACTTGCGCCATGTAAGTTTTCGTATTGATCAGCATTTATTACCGGCAGATCTATCATGGACTACGACCCGACAATATACAGGGTGTTCAAAAAGTCCCGGACCGGTGAAATATCTCGAAAACTAAGCAGTTTAGAAAAAAATGTTTCAAATAAAAGTTGTGGCGTTTAAAAAGATGTATTTACTGATCACATCAGTTTGACCTTGGGTTGCGTAGCGAAGGTCAGGTCAAGGTCACATTAATTTTTTTAAATGGAACACCCCATTTTTCATTGCATATTCTTATAGCACATCTCGAGAG